AAAAAAAAAAAAAAAAAAAAAAAAGAGTGGAAGATATCTGTGCTGAGGGACGGGGAGGGGGAGGGGGAAGTGACACACTGGAAGGCCGACATCCTAAGTCACTAAGCTGTGCCCACACACCTCGTCCGTCCATCCATCCATCCAAACAGGCTTTGAGAATTTAAAAATGAAGGTCACAGCTCTACTTCAAAAAGATCACAATCTAGCAAAGCCCAGAGGCCAAGCAGAGGATATTTGGCTAAAACACACAGCATCCTGACTTCGCTAACAAGAGAGGCCCAAGTGGCGAAGACTAGTTTGAAATTCCAGAGGGGAGGTAATAGGAAAAACCTAGCTGGATCTGGTGGCTTCAGAGACACTAAACCCTCTTCCACCCACAAACGATGTTAAGAGGCCTCAGGCTGAGGACTCTTTCTTGAGTTGGTTCCAGCCAGAGGCAGGAAGAGAAAAAGCAGAGGCTATGCAGAGGTGTGTAAAGGTACCGGCTGGGAGGCCAGGGGTTGGGTCAGGAGACTTGCTGGAAGACAGATACCAGGTCTAAATGGCAGGCAGGTTGGGACAGAAGCCCTGGGAGGTGGGGTCTTTTTCAAGTAAGGCAGGAAGCAGGTTATGTATGTATTGTTCCTGCGTGCATTGTTTGAATATTATAGAGGCTAAGAGATCCAAGATGGTGGGGCCTGGTGGCTAACCTAGGCTGCCCATAGCAGGAAGCACAGTTCAGTTGAGAATATTCATGCTGATTTTGTACGAGGCCACCAGGATGGGTAGGATTGTTTCTACCTGGAGAAGCTTACAGAATGGCTCAACCTTTTCTCTCATTCTACAGGGCTGCACTTATACCCTCCTCTGCTCTTGCCATCTCTCACAGGGCCCAGGCTCAGGGCCCACAAGGTTCAAGAGAAAAGACACGCTGGGCCCAATGAATCAACATAATTTATTAGATCCACTCAGTGCCAAGACAGGATCCTGGACCTGGAGCTGGATTACAGGGCTCATCCTTAGATTCAGTCTGGTCTTTCCCATCATGCCTCTTACTTCCAATCTGGGATTCTTTTCTAGTAGGAGGGCCCCTACTCCTTCCCTCTGGCTCTTCCGGTAATCATCTTTGATGATGACTTTCATCAAATGAATGGAGAACTTTCCAGAGACAGCAAGGCTCAGGAAGAAGAGTATCCATCATCAGTATAGTCTGAAATGCTCTCCCATCAGATGCCCTGAGGCTGGGCCCAGAGTGAGGTGCCCCAGCCTGGGGGACTGCCTGTAGGACTGCCTTTCCAGGACCAGGGTTTCCTCAGTGCTCTTGGCCTGCACGTGGGGGTTGGTAGGCAGATGTCTGGTGCTCTTTAAGTTCGAAGGTATCATGGCCCTCTCTGTGGAGCAAAGGGATGTGGGTCAGGGATCCCAGGCAACCCTCAAACTCTCCCACAGAATAATCTACCTGCACCCACCGGAAGCAGCGGGCACAATAGAGGTCTCCCTCACAGCCAGCACAGCGCAGGGTAGCGTCCTCATTGCAGATGCAGCACCAGGGGAGCTCCTCTTCCTCAGCCTCCATCCTGAGGGCCATGTCCTGGGCCTTCAGGGGCCAGAGAGGTATGGGGAAGTAAGGTACCTGATGGGGTCTGGGGGCTGCTGCAGGAGCAGTCAGCCAGGCAGGGAGAAGGCTGTGGGCAGCCTGAGGGTCGTGTCTGGGGCTTTTCTCACCTCAGGCTCTGCCCTGCAGGGTTGGGCCCGGGGTTTGGGAGCCGGCTCCACAGGGATGTTACAGCCACTTGCCTCATCCAGGGCAGCTTCTTCAGTGAGCTGTGGACAGGGTGAAGAGGTGCCACTCCCCACTCCAGGCCCAGGGCCCCTCTCCCAGTATTTCTATACTCTGTGGTTTCAGCTTCTCAATTCATATTCCTTCACCTGTTGCCTGTGGCTGATGATTCCCCAACTCAGGAGACCAGGGGGCAGGTCTGGGTCACAGGGACAGTGGGGCCCCAACTAGAACAGGAGCCCTAGAGTGGAGGCAGGGTGAACAGTGCCAGGCAGGTAGTGGGGCAATGAGGCAGAGACAGCACAAGAGGTGGTCAGGTGGATAAGCCAGGGCCCACCTGCTGCAGGACTCTCTGGATGGCTGTCTCCTCATCCTCATCGTCATCACTGTCTGGAAGGCGATAGTCCTGGAGGGTCACTTGAAGAGGGAGAGATGAGAACAGGGGAAGGAGGAGTAAGGAGGAGAGATTTCATCTGAATGGCTGTTGCCTTGCCTCCTGGAACTGGGGAACTGGTTCCAGGGGCACTTGTTCCAGAGCTGAGAAGCTTCTTCATCCACTCTGACCAAATCCTGTCCCTCCCTGCCCCACCCATGCAGGGCAGGGCCATCACTGAAGCCCTGAGGAGGGGGGGAACAGAAGCCTCAGTGTGCCCAAACGGACTGAAAGTCACCCTGCCTCCTGACAGCTGCCACTGATTCCTCACCCACTGCGGTACCTTCCTCATGGCTCTGGGCAAGGCTCGACAGATCTCTGGGCACAGGGACCCCAGCATCTGACTCAGCCCTGGCAGGGAATACTTGAATTGGAGAGGCCTTGAACAATGGTCATGAGTGAGGGGCGGTTCCCCAGCCTTTACCTCTATCGGGGTCCTGTCCCCGCAGCACGGCCAGACGCTTGGCCAGGGCCAGGATCCGCTCCTGCCTTGTGTTTTCCTCTCGCAGTTCAACCGCTGCCTCAGCCAGCAGCCTGCTCTTCTCCTCCTCCACAGACCAGCTAGCCTGCTCCTTGGAATTAGTGCTCTGGCTCCCTGGGCCACCCTGGTTGAGGTCATTCTGGAGAGAGGCAGCTGGAAGGGGGGCAGTTAGGGAGGCAGAGACATTCCAAGATCTCTCCTCAGAAGCCACTGAGCTCATTTCTCAACTTTTTTTTTTTTTTTTTTAAAGATGACCGGTAAGGGGATCTTAACCCTTGACTTGGTGTTGTCAGCACCACGCTCTCCCAAGTGAGCTAACTGGCCATCCCTATATAAAGATCTGAACCCGTGGACTTGGTGTTATCAGCACCACACTCTCCCAAGTGAGCCACGGGCTGGTCCTATTTCTCAAGTATTTTTTAACCAAAGATCATCACCTTTTTTGCTCAGCACTAGTGCTTACGGTTTATATCACAAATAAAATTAGTATTTCCTCCATTGTTCCACATGTGAAAATCTAGTTATCTTTTTCTAGTTATCTTTTTTTATCTTTGTCTTTTTCAACCACATACATCCCCACCCACCTGATATTTCAACATGCTGCCCTTAAAGTGGGTGTCCCACGGTTTGCGGTTTGGGAATCATTGCCCTAAGGATCAGGATATGGGAGGCCAAGGCTCAGTCTCTTTGTCTTTCAGGGCTGGAATTTGCATTTCATGGATGTAGCACAGAGAGCACATGAAGGAAGCAGAGATCTTGTATATCACTGGGTGGGAAGAATTTTACCAGAGTGGGTGTGGCTCTGACATGGGCACTTTCAGCTTCGAGTTTCTTTGGGTTCAAGTTCCAGCTCTGCCACTTAACAGCTGTGTGACCTTAGTCAAGTTCCTTAAGCTCACCAAGCCTCAGTTCCCTCATTTATAAATAAGGATAACAATAGTATATACCTCATAGGATTATTGAGGATATTAAATGAGATTGTGTCTCTAAAGCAGGGTTTCTCAATCTTAGTTCTATTGACACTTTAGATAACTCTTGTTGTGGGGAGCTATCCTGTGCATTGTAGGATATTTAGCAGCATACCTGTTTTCTACCCTCTGGATGCCAGTAGTACCCTCTGAATTGTGACAACCAAAAAGACTCCACACATTGTCAAAAGTACCCTAGGGGCCAGGGGGAAGGGGTGAGGCAAAATCATCCCTGGTTGAGAATCACTGCTCTGAAGGCTTCAAACAGTACTGTCCAATATAATTTTCTATTATGATGGAAACATTCCATATCCTGTTCTATGTCTGTGCTTTCCACAATGGTAGCCATGAGCCCATGTGGCTATTAAGCACTTGAATGTGGCTAGTACCACTAAGAAAATGAATTTTAAATTTTATTTAATTTTAATTAAATTTCGATTTAAATAGCTTCTTCTTTCTCCTGATCATTATAATCATCATCACTGCAGAAAACATTCACTGAGCACTTATTATGACCAGGTAAGTTCCCAAGCGCTAATTAGATTATCTCATTTACTCCTCCTAACTTCGCCATGAGGTAGGTTTTACCATACACACCTCCATTTTACAGGTAAGAAAAGTATGACTTAGGTCAAGTAACTTGCCCAGGGTCATAGAGCTAGTAAGTGGCAGAACTGGGAACCACTGTTGAATTCTAAAGCCCACACACCTAACCACTAAGCTTACACTGGCTCCCTTTAGAGGAAGCACTCAATAAACGGTAGCTCTTATAATGTTGATTATTCTAATTTACACTCATCTGCCAGAGGGTAGAGAGCAAAACCTCTCCCATCTGGGGGAAAAAGGTAGGCCAGGTCCCTGGGGGAGCTAAGTGGAGGGGTTACCTGTGCTGGTAGCTCTTATAATGTTGATTATTCTAATTTACACTCATCTGCCAGAGGGTAGAGAGCAAAACCTCTTCCATCTGGGGGAAAAAGGTAGGCCAGGTCCCTGGGGGAGCTAAGTGGAGGGGTTACCTGTGCCTGCTCGTTCCCAGCTGTCATCAATAGCCACTTCAGCTGCCAGCTGTGTTAGCAGATCCTGTGTCTGCTGTGCTTGGGTCCTGGTATCTGGTGTCTGATGTGCCTGTCCAGAGGAGGGAACCTCAGTGGGGAGCAGGAGTAGGGGAGAAAGCCACACCATAAGGCCCAGAAGCAGTCTGGGTCGGGTGGATGCTGAGGAGTTCTCAAAGTCTGGGGAAAGGGGATGAATCCAGGGCCCCCATAATCAAGTAGGTCTGGCAGTCCCCAGTAGGACTGGGGGTCCACTCTTTCCTGCCCCACCCAATCCTGCTGCTTGTCCTTCATTCCTTGGCCTAGCAGTAGGCCTGAGGATCAGGAGCTAAGGGTGGGAAGTCTGGGCTAGCCATTTAGCTCAGTTGATTAGAGCACGGTATTATAATACCAGGTCAAGGGTTTGGATCCCCATACTGGCCAGCTGCAAAAGAAAAAGGGTGGGAGTGCTTGCCAACTTCTGCAAAGTATATAACTGTACACATATTTGGGCTTTTGCCAGGTCCTTGCCCTATGAACCCCTTTCTCTCAAGCCATAGCACTCACCGGCTGGTGGGTCTGAGAAGGAGGAACTCTGCCCTGCAATGCAGCAAGCCGTCTCTCCATCTCCTGGGTGGAAGGGATAGAACCCTGAGGTTCATCCCTAAGTGCAGCCAGCCGTGCTTCTATCTCTGCCTGTGAGGGCACTGACTCTGCAATTGGCATAGGGTAGTCTCGTAAGGGCCAGAGGAATCCCAGTCCCAGAAGCCCTGGACTGTGTCTTTTAAGCCACTGTGCCTGCCCCCACTCACTGGGCTTGTTCTCCTGGCGGAGCCGTGCTAGACGCTGAGCAATGACCTGGTCTTGTTGGGTTAGTCCCTGGCTCCAGGAAGTGCTGGATTTCTGCTTGGTTTCCAAAGCTGCCACACGCCTGGCAAGATATGAGATAGTCGCTCTTGAATAAGGCAGAAGCGGGATGAAGGCACCCACTCACTGTTTCCCATTTGAATCATTTCTGGGTATCTAGAGAGCCCTCCAAGGGGCAATCTTCTGTTGCCCTCAGTCATGTCACCCTGCAGCCCAACCCAGCTGACCAGCTTTCAGAGCCCAAAAGGGCAGTCAGGAGCCTGACAGATGGGTATTCTGACTCTGCGCTCATTTGATCTAGAAGCTAGGAAGAGAGTCTTACCCTATGGCTTCCCTGTCCTTTCCCCATCCCTATTTGTCACTTTCTCTTCAGTACTTACTTCTTATAGTTCTGAGGTGGTGACCACTTGGAGGCATTGGCAGGAGAAGATCCTCTATAGAGAAGACATCCAGTGTCAGGAGTCCTGTGATCCCATCAGTCAGTGACCCCCACCCCAAACACTTCCTAGGCTGACCTCAAGCCACAGAAAACAAGGCTGCGAAAGCTGGCCGGATGCTCACTGCCATATTGGCTGAACCCTCACCCACGCCTGCCTCTCACCTGGTCAGGACCTCATAGCACTGCTTGCAGACTTTCTGTTGTTTGTTCCCAGTCTGAGGCACCATTGCACTGAAGCTAAGGCAGCCGGAACAGAAGGCCAGACCACAATTCTTACAGCCGTACTATAAGAAACACGAAGCAGGAGGATCCACGTCTAACCCGTCCCTGTGGGTTCCTCCCTGGGACACTCCGAGAACACAGAGAGAAGACACTGAAGTTGTGACCAGCTGCTGGGAGGAGGAAGAGGAGTGGGGACCCTAAGGCCTAGGGAGAGACAGGGGCGGAGGGTGAAGCAATTCCTCCATTTCCAATCTCTTATTCAAACTGAATAAAGCTTCATGCAAAATTCCATCCTTTCTACCCTGTTTTCAATTCCCCGACACAGGGGTGTAGAAGACAGATAGGTAAAGCCTCTGCTTCAGGTCACTGACTCTTGAACAAAGGAGAATCAGAGAGAATGCAGAGTCCATGCCTTCTCTGCTCTGGCAGAGATGGAGAGCGGCGTGGCTCAGGATGGGATGATAACAATAGCCTGTTTATTATGCACTTACTGTGTGCCAGGCACTAAACTCAGTACTTAGCATTCATCATCTGATTTCGTCCTCACAATTTACACACATTATCTTACGTAATCCTGATGCCCACCATTATTCCATTTTTATCCCTTTTTTAGAGAGGGCCAAAGAAGTTACATGACTCCCCAAAGTCACCCCGTTAATTAAACAGCAGAGCTCAAATCTGAACCCTGACTCCAAAATCCAAGTTTCTAAGTGCTATACGTCCTGCCTCCCAACGTGCCGTTAATTCATCCCATCTGGTTCTCATCATCTCCTTGTCGGATGCCCTGGTCACAAATGAGGCAGAGAAAGCTTGCAGTTTACCAGCGGAACTTGGCAGATCTGTGCTGAGGACACAGGAGTCTATGCATGAGCCCTGGGGGTAGGGGGAAGTATGGTAATTTAACCCAAGAGACCTGGGTACGGGCAGCCTGCAGGATGCGGAAGGTTTGAGAGCAGAGAGAGTAACGGGCACGGTGTGATGGACAGTTGTCACAGGGTATTAAATAAGACCGGGCTGCGGAGGAGCAGGGTGAAACAGCCAGTTGCTACACTGGGCTGACAGAAAAGCGTAGCTTTCCAAAACCAACAGCAGCGCGCTTTAGAGCTTACAGAAAACTTTAACCTTCAGAACCTCACTGCACCCTCACATCAACTCCGAGAGCAAGGGAGTATTAGTCCCATTTTACAGAAAAGGAAACAGGCTCAATGGCTTCATCAAAACCGTACAGCTAGAAAGCGGCCGTAAAACCAAGTCGTCGGACTGCCAGTCCCGTGCTTTTCCCTCCATGCCGCGTCCTCCCTGGCCCTCTAGCCCTCGGGAGAGAAGACTCGCCTCCTTCTTGAAGAGAGTGAACTTGACAGCGCAGCCGTAGCACCTACTCTCCATCGTGGCTCCAGCGCGGTAGGATCGGGCAGAGCTGAAATCTCGCCGACCAGGCCCACAGCCCCTTGGACTCCCACCCCACCCCGCCCTCCACGCCCACTCGCGCGTTCCGGCTGCGGCGGAAGCTGGGGTTGCTGGGAGTCGTAGTTCATTCACGACTGCCCGCCTCCCTCAGAGTCAGTCAAACCTGACACACAGCACCACGATTCCCAGGGGGCCAAGCGCCAGTCGGCCGGCTCCGAGCCGGCGTCCGCATGCACGCTTAGACTCCTGGGAATTGTAGTACGAAGCTAATCAGGTTGGAACCATGGCGGTGACCAAGGAGCTCTTACAGATGGACCTGTACGCACTGCTAGGCATCGAAGAGAAGGCGGCGGACAAAGAGGTGAGGATGGTGGCGAGGAAGGCTGGTCCTGAGCAGCCTGGCGGCCCTTCCTGTCCCGACGCCTCGCCCGAGGCTGGCACCGCCCTCCAGGTTCTGCTGGACTCTGGGCTGGGCGAGAGGGGCGGCCCGACGGCCTCAGAAGGTGGGCACAGAGGGCTCTTCGCGCCGGGTGTCTGTGCTCTCCCTGTGGCTCTATCAGAGAGAGGCCGCGGCGTGAGCCTGGGAAGGAAACTTAGCTAACTCTTCTTTGCGCCTGCGCAGTCTCACCCTCGATTCCGCTTCTTTCTTGAGCGTGGCTGGAGTTGCTTCTTTTCAGTCTCTCCTGCAGGCTAATTAAACTCCACTTAGAGTCTAGGACCGAAGAATGGTCAGATCCCAAGGCACCTTCGCTTCTTGCGCATGCCCCCTCGGCGGTGCGACCTATGACCCTGCTGTCTCTGTTTTCTTTTCCATTTTAGCTTATTGACCTGGAGACATTCTTTTGTCGTTGTTGTTTCTGGGGGTTGTTGTTTGTTTGTTTGTTTTTGTATTTTTTTGATGCTGGCCTGTACAAACGATTGAACCCTGGAACTTGGTATTATCATCAAGGAATCATTCCTGATACCTCTCTGTCCTCTTACCCCTGCCATCTAGTCCATCACAAGGTCCTAATGAGTCAACTTCCTAGATAATTCTCAAATCTGTTCATTATCTCCGTCTCCACCACTACCACACCAGCCCAAGCCCCCATCGACTTCCAACTGAATGTTTGGAGTAGCCTGCCAACTTTCTCTCCTTCCAATCTATTCTATTCTTCTTCTTCTTCTTCTTCTTCTTTTTTTTTAAATAAAAAGATGACCGGTAAGGGGATCTCAACCCTTGGCTTGGTGTTGTCA